CTCCTCCTACTACTACTTCTACTACTACTACCACTACTACTACTACTACTACGGCGACCACAACAACGAGGACGACTACTACCTGTACTACCACTACGACTACCACTGACTACCACCATCACCACAATAGGGGCAAAAGACACCGCAGCATTGTCAAGAAAGTGCTGCACGCAAATGAGGTTTCTAGGAATCACTGTATGCATGCTGAGACAGTTCTTCCATGGTTGTTGAAGGCCGTGAAGACATCGAAATAATATCATTATAGTCATTATAGTTGCTGTGGTAGCAGATCCGCACTGGCATCGGCAGCAGTGTTGCCGTTGCCTACAGGGGCCTAAATAATTACCTATACTATTTTGGGGGTCCCTTATATAATTAAGTATAATATCCCTCAAAACCATATTCTAATTATTAAGGCCAGCTGTACAACCGGAGTGAAGGGGCAAGCAACATTTTCGATTCAGAGCCGTGCGCGTTCCGCAGAACAGTGCCACAAACAAAACCACACCGTTCGCATCGTCTCGCACACTCTCACGCAGAACAGACTGGATCTTAGTGGAACAGAAGCACTTCATTTAAACATTACGGTGCAGGGCTCTGTACAAAAGCACTCAATCTGCTGCATCAGGGACTGGCTCGCCATTGCAAGGCGAGAATTTGCACGCCTCGCCCTTCGCGAGTCGTGGGCACGCTCCAGTTTTCTTCACATCCCAACAAGTCTTGTCGCCGCTCTTGCCGAAGCCCTTGCCGAAGCCTTTGCCCCATCCGCCATAGCCCATCATCCACTTCATCTGCTGCACCTGGGTGCCTGCTGAGCCGAGGAGCATGACCCTCTTGGCAGCAGGTCCCTTCTCATCCATGGACACGCTGAACTTGCACTGGCCACCTTCCGGACCAAAGCCTCCGGGAAGCTCTGAGCGCAACACGAAGACGTCCTGCTCCGGGAAGGCATCGGTCGAGATAAAGCCAAAGCCCTTGGTGGGGTTGTAGCTCCTTACTCGTCCGGGCTCCCAGGGCATCTGAAGGATGTTGTGTTGGGTGCAACATAGAAGTAGTTCTCAAAATTAGGGTCCCCTTCTAAGTCCCCCATATAGTACGGCACCCTTATAACAAGGATCCTAAGAGGGACCCTAATATAGAGAACTGCCCATAGGGAGTACATGCTTATACTGCATGCCGTCCCAAAAAAGATGAAGCTTGCTGGATCGAATGCTAAGGCTCTTGATCTGTCCGAAGTAGGACGCTTCCTCTGGCGCTCCGACTACACGAACATTCTCCGCGACGGGGCCCTTCTCCGTCTGCCCAACTGTGAACTGCACCTGGTCGCCTTTGGATGGGCAAAAGCCGTTGAGGTCTTTCTTGTGCATGAACATGTCGGTGCCATTGCACTCCACGAACCCCCATCCCTTGTGTGGGTTGAAAGCCTTCACGGTGCCCGTCAGCGCCATGATGTGGAGAGGCTTGCGGGAAGGGGGAGCAGCGCCGTAGCAACAGAACCGGAACAAAGCCTAACACAGACACTACAAGTAACCGCTTGAGGATGGGCCGGCGCAGCAAGCTCAGCCCTTGAAGCATCTCAGAGTCTCCCGCTTGCAAGGCCCCACTGTGCCGTGCCGATGCCACAGACCCTACCTACAGTCTCCATGTTAGTTCCTTTTTGGGCTTACCTTTTGGGATCCTCTTTCCGTAATGACCTATACAGTCTCCATGTTAGTTTCTTTTTGGGCTTACCTTTTGGGATCCTCTTTCCGTAATGGGCTAATTCAACAAAGAAGACAAGAACCATATCGGAAACTAGGGGTAGTGCCCCAAAGCCCTCGACGCCGGCCTGGACCGCTCGTTCCTCTTATTCGGAGACCCCCAAACCCGGAACCCTAAACCCCAAACCCTTAGCCCTAAAACCCTAAACCCTACTAAACCCTGAAACCCTAAAACCGTAAAGCCCCAAACCCTATAAACTTAGGCCGCAGCAGAGCCATCACTTCGGCTAACGTGAGTGTCTCCACGTCGAAGCGTAATTGAAAGTCAGCGAACCTGTACTTTGGGGTTTAGGCTTAAAGGTTAAGGGTTTAGGCTTTAGGGCTTAGGGTTTTAGGGGCTAGGGGCTTCTTGGTTGAGGGGTTTAGGTTTAGGGCTTGGGGTCTTGGGCTTCGAGGGTTTAAGGTTTCCCTTGAGGGTTACTTAAAAGGTACTACAGGCGTGTAGGGTTTCAAGACTTTAAGGTTTGCATGCGGGTGTGGGATTTAGGGGTCTATACGCATAAGACCCAAGAGGGTTCTGAATATATGGGAGATACTTGTACAAACCGTAAGCGATAATTAGGTCAAAGAATGGAAATCCTACATGGGTAGTTCTCTAAATTCGGCTTTTTTTAGGGTCCCTTTTATGAAGGTGCCGTACTATATTAGGGACCCTAATTTAGAGAACTACCCACATTCTATCATTTTGGTGCTTCGGACCCTCACAGGAACCCCAGAAAGTACCCATAAAGGAAGCCACAAAATACCTTTTAACACAACCCCTAAACCCTAAACCTACTAACTATAAACCCCAAAAAAGCCTAGAGCCCTAAAGCCCTTTATAGCCTTAAAGCCCAAAAAGAACCGACAAAACAAGTTGAAGAACCGCAAACCCCAAATCCTAAAGCCCTAAATCCTACACACCGAACCCTAAACCCTAAACCCTAAAAAACTGAACCCTGTACCCTAAAACCCTAACCCTAGACCCTAAACCCTAAACCCTAAACCCTAAACCCCGAAACCCTATACCCTAAAACCCTAAACCCTCTACCTTAAAACCCTCAACCCTAAACCCGACAGTCCAGGGCGGCGCACCCACCACGCCAGGATCCATCACTGCTGGCACACTCGGAAGCCTGCACAGGAAGAGATGCCCCCCAAAAAGGATCTGAAAAATAGATCCCCTAAGGGGGTTCCTATAAAGTACCCCCGAGAAGTTCGGGTCCCCAAAAAGGGGATCTATTTTTAGAGCCTTTTTGGGGTCTGGGTTTGGGGTTCTTGAGGGCTGGGGCTCGTTCTGTTGAGGTGGGAAGGGGTTGAGCTTCTCAGTTTAGGGTGATTAGTTTAGGGTTTCACTGTGGTTAGGGATTGTGGTTGAGGGTTTAGGAGCTCCAAAAATTTACAGTTGTGGCGTGGAATCTGACCCGAAGGGGTCTTTTTGCGGCGTTCATCGAATTACTTCCTTCGTTGTAGCATGCATGGACCCTCCGGTCCTGTGCGTGGCATTGCCCTAATGCTGGACAGCCCTAAACCCTAAACCCTTCGGGATTCAAGTCTAAGGCTGGCGGGAAAAGGCTGGACAAAGGCTCACGGCTTGTTCGGGTGGAAGGTTACTGACAAGGCGGCCGGGTTTCTGTTGGTTCAACTTCTCGTCCCTACATATATATATATATGTCTATCTATCTATCTATCTATCTATCTATCTATCTATGTATCTATCTATCTATCTATCTATCTAAATGTATGTACAACCAGTGTACAATAATTCAATAAGCTGTCGAGCAACTTTTGGACCAAGGCCTATATTGCATGAAACTCAAGAAACCCACTTGGAGCATATACAAGTATGTAATCATGCATGATCGTATAAACAGTACATCGTAGTCTATAACAGTATAGTAAAATATCGTATAGTGTAGGATTGGAGAGGATAGGTTAGGATACCATAGTATAGTCTAGTTTTGTGTAGTATACGATGGTCTAGTATAGTAGAGTAGAGTATAGTATGGTAGAGCCAGGGGGAGTCCAAAGTAGAAGCTAGAAGGTGGGAACATCATTGTCTCAACCCTAGGCCCTAAACCCTCAACCCCCTAAGCCATCAGGCCCTAATCCCCAAGCCTTAACGCCTAAACCCACCAAACCCTGAACGCGAATCCCTCGAGTATAGCGATGCCAGCACGTGAAGCCGTCAGGGCTCTGAGAAAAACGCTACGAACACTATTGTTATAATGAGTACCATAAATACTGTTACTACTATCAATTATCATTGCTACTGTTATTCATATTCATTGCTATTTTCAGTATTATTCTTCTCACCAATAATACCTGTATTGTTGTCATTACTCTTACTACTATGTCCATTTTACCATTAAGAGCAAAGGCCTCTAACACAACCTAACCATGTAATGGTGCAATAGTGTATTGATCATGCCTCAGATAATCACATAGCCATGAAATAGTATGGCAGTGAAGACACATATAACCATAATGGTCATAGACAACTTTAGCGGTTAATCAGAAATCATAACATTTCTTTTGCCCATACAAAACAACAACAGAACAGGACAAGATACAGTAGCCGGACTGTCGGCGCATTGGTAACCGCCAAGTTTGGAACAAGGCCCGAAGGGTCCTAGGTACTGCTATGGGGGGATACTTTCCCAAATCATAAGAAGCATTCCTAATATAAAAATTCTAGATTCGTAGCCTTAAAGGAACACTTAGTAGGTACTTTGGGCCCTGTAGGATTATCACACTACCTCCCTCTTGTAGGGTCCAACTTTGCGACCTGAACGGTCGAAGCCCACCCGACAGAGGCAAGGCTTTGGGTTTAGGGTTGAGGGGTTAGAGGTTTAGGATTTAGGGGGGTTTTAGGGGTTTAGGGTTTGGGGGTTTAGGGGTTAGGAGTGCCGATGTGGGGGCTCCTTTGGGAATGAGTTGGGCTTCTGCTTGACATTATTACCGGGAGGAAGAAGTGTCGAAGGCGTAATCCTGTAAAACTGTAGGGGCCTTAAAAAATAGAATAGAACTTTGGGAGTTCCTTCTGATATTTATAGTATAATAAACCCCAAACCCTATTCTAAGTCTCATTATTAAGGGCCCTATATTACACCCTAAACCCTAAACCCTAAAACCCTAAACTATATTACATACAAGGCTTGGAATCTCAACATCCAAGGGTCCCTGTTACGCCGGATGCAAAAGCACAGCTTAAACGGCTTTGTGATAGGCTCCCTCATGTGGGAGTTTCCGGAAATACGGGGTACCTTATTTTGGTGTCCTTATAATACGGGTCCTACTATTTAAGGTCTATATTCGGGTCGTCTATTTTCGGAAATCCTCACATGAATGCCCGTAAAAAGAAGGATCTTATTGGTCAGGGGCCTACAGTGCAGGGTTTTGCTCCTAGGCCCTAAACCCTAAACCGAAAACCCTACAGACCCTAAACCCTGAAAACCCTACGGACCCTAAACTCTAAACCCTAAAACCCTAAACCCTAAAACCCTAGACCCTAAACCCCTAAACCCCACAATCTCCGCAGTGACCATGCCTCTTCCTGACATCGCTGTGCCCATGTCGGATACCTTCTCTTCTCGTAGGCGTTGGGGACTTGTAGGGGGCCGCACTTTGAAGGACTACTGGGTATAATCTAGGAGCCTTAATAATTACATATACTATTTTTGGTGGTTCCATATTTTAGGTATTATGGCAAAATATACCCCAAAATCTAGTCTAGTTAGTAAGGCCCCTATATTACTTGAGGGTTCCTTTTTTTCAGGGTTGAGGGGGCCCTAGCAGTGAAAATGGTCTAGAGGACTTTCTACGGGGTTCAGAGGTTCTTAGACGGGACTTAAGTAACAAGCAAAGTATGGTTTCGGGTTTAATCATACAAATCTGGTTGTATAAAGACACCCAATAATCTTAAACCTATTCCCTAGAACCTCGTTACTCAGTTGCTTGGCCTTGAATCGAAGGGGTAGACTTTTAATTTGCAGGAGCAAAAAAAGCATTGAGGTAAATTTCTCTGTTGCTTTGCCTCGGCTTGCAGGCCTAAACCATAAACATGATTACGCACCATTATCATTATTAGTATTAGAAGTCTCATGACTCATGAACAGCATTAGTAGCGCAGGACCCTCAACACTCAAACTATAAAAAAAAAACTAACACCTAAACTCCCGAAGCCCTACATTAGGTTTAAGTTTATAGTTTAGGGCTTCAGGTTATAACCTAAACCCTAAACAATAAACTAGAAGCTCTAGGGCCCTAAACCCTAAAACCAAGCCAAAGCGCGTGGGCGAGTAGAGAATCGTCGTTGTCGCTTGAGGTTGGCCCCCAACAGCGACGTTTAGAGGCCAAACCTGGCAGAGCGTCAGTATTACGGGGCCCTAACGAAGCTTTAATTTAGTTTAGGGTTTAGGGTTTGTAATGTTTAGAATAGGATTTTTCGGATTCCTGTAAACAGTTCGATAAGGGCTACGATCAGGGTTGCTATATGGGGCTGAGGATCGGGGCCGCAACAATTAGAATAAGGTTTGGGCGGCTACTGAAAGTGAAGATCTCGAACGAGTAGAGTAGTTCTTGAATAGGATTTGGAAATAGGGTATAGTATAATTAATACTGTACCTGTGTAATGCTAAGGAGCCGTAAGGAAATAGTATTAGCCAGTATCCAGGCTTCTGCACCGCATTGTTTGCCAGGTTAGGTCT